GCAGTATTTTTTATTGAACCAAGTGTCTTACAAGCTGTAATAGATGACATAAGAATATCAAGAACAGAAACATGTCGGTACTTAAGCACTGAAAGATACGTGACTACATTTGCTTTAGTGAACACAGAATGGAGGTACCAGGTAAAGATTAATCTCTCACTTTACTGGGAATCTTTTAGATTTAGAGTTAGATTTGTGTTATATGTATTAATTTAATTTCCCTGAAATGAAGTAAGAGGGTCCACGCCAATTAAACATAGCAGATACATCACAAAGGGTCATTGTTCGTCAACGTTTTTTTGCTAAATCTAGATATATCATGCATTTAGTAGTATTTTATGAAAGGGGCGATGATTACTTGTGACATGGGCCGATTAACATGCCTTGGACATTGATGCTGGATTTTACCATCATTCCCACATGGAAACACATAACAAACGTTATGATTGGACATCATGCAGGTGCTTTCGTTAGGTATGTATCAAAGCGAAAGGCTCAGGTAAATGTGGATGTTGTTTAGCACGCAATATCGACACTTTCGAATTACAGTGTAGCGTCATATATGTGAACTTATTGAAGTTTGTAGCTAAGAAATACAATGGAATATATACTGAATCAGAATGTTTTTTATTGACACTCGATCTAAAACCCAAATAACTTAAATATTTCATAACCACTGTATCTTAGAATGGATACTACCTCTGTCACTTTGGACAGTATTAAAATGAATATACCATCAAGGCCACAGTCATTTCTGGAAAATGTATCAAGCTCAAAAATTCATTGAACGGGATTACAGGCGAGCTAAATAATTCAGGGAAGAAAATAGGTACTACCCTGCTACTGAGGCATCCATGCTCAGAATTGCAGTGTAACATACACTAAAGAAAAGCAAGAAGGTATTTAATGAACTTGGAATTCGATTTTGGCTGGGCTCTGGTACATGTTTAAGTATGAATATCGATAGAAATACAGTATTTATAATAATAAAATGTGACGCCACTTTCTCAATAGATTTCACGTTCAGTCGTAGACGATTTGTGATTAAGTTCATCGCACGAATATCAATGAGAATGTCTGCGAATCAGCCAAAAGTTTAAGACACACATACCACATATTCGAGTTATAATTTTAAAATACAATATACGTATATATTTGGACATTTCGTGTTCCTATAATTAGAATTGGTCGCATAAATAATGGGCTCAACTGTATCCCGCCCATTATTGAGTGCTTCTCCACACTTGTTCTGATATCACGCAATATTCTGCAACGTATCGTAATGACTGAATATAGTGTTTGTTAGATTAATATATTATATATATTATTATATTATATCGTGAATGCGACACAATTGGGTATGACGATGATCTCGTTATTGAAATCTTAATTAATGAATACAACCCACAAATTACACAGGTTTTTGAAAGCTCTGGTTTTTGTCTCCTAATAGCATTGGTAAAATAAGTACACTTGCCATGAAAACCTCGATACATTTCAAAACTAAACTAAGTCATGTGTAGATGTTGGATGAAGATACTAAAATGAACATAAAAGCTTGTATTTACCAGCTGTTGCGAACTGAATCCAAAAATTTATTTTTTATGAAACATGAAATATGATACGTGAAATCACTTTCTCACAATGATTTAATAGTGACTAATTTTCGTTTTCGATGCAGATGGAGAATGGCTTAATGTTATCGTTTGTTAGTGGTGCACAAACATTTTTGTTTACAGAACAAAATTGTAATCGGTACATTTCTGGAATTTTCTACGTGTGAAATACAAGTATGTATGCAGTAAATATTATGATTATTTGTTGTTGTTTTTTTCGTTTTTGTTGTTGTTTTTTTGTCTACCACGGATGGAACTCTGCTTGACCCTAGAATGTATTAAAACAATATATGGCAAAACCTGAAAACAGAAAATAGAAAAACGGCAGCTTCGATATAATGCATCGAATTTAGAGTCAACAAGAATGGGAGGCATTTGTAAAACACAACACTTGTCAAGGATAACATGCGTTTCCTGGAAGATTGACAAATTGACAACTTCTGGTGGGAGACTGATTGTTGATTCTTAAGTGTTTGCATACATTTTATCACAGTTAAAATTGATGTCTCCAATTAATAACAAATGCCTCATTTTGCTGTTTCTCATCACTAGTGATAATTCAACATACAAGCAAATCACTTTAATCACCTATTGCGAAAACAATTATTATGTCATATATTGTAGTTACAGTAGTGGCAGGCTGATTGTTGATTCTTTCAGTGTGAGCATTTCTGCCACAGCGCATCCCATATTGTGAATCAGTAATAACAGATGCATCGATACGGTCATATTCATCCCTACAATATAATTTATTTATTTTATTCAAATATAATGTCTATATATAGTTTGTCAGTAAACCCGTATTTAGATAATTCTATTCGCTGCTACATGCTGAACGCATGTGAGAATCAGAAAAGGTTAATCGAGTAATTAATACTGACACCATGTGACCTGATGTGTTGCCGTGTATATAACTTTTCAATTAATATTAGGAGAAATGTTAAGTGCATTGTCCCATACGAAAAATACATTCAAAATATTGCAGCAGTTGTTTATATATATATAAATTTTACAAATAATCCTATGTAAATCCTGTTTTATGCATGAGTGATCAGAACGTTTTAAATGACAAATATACTACAAAACATACATTGTTGATGGTAAGCGGTAATATAAACAGTACCATTGTTGTACATACGAGGTTAGGAAGACCTAATGTAAGGTCGATTGGTGAGTAACATATAAACATTGAATGTATCCATAACGATATTCGACACTAAAAGCACACTGTGCTGTGATTATTTCTGGTCTGATGTCCGTGGTAGAAGACTAGAAAACAAATACTGATACTGATTACAACACTATCATTTGTTTCTGTGTTTTTTTTTCTGTTTTTCGCAGCATACATGAAGAACAAAGCTATTCTACAAAATGAGGAAATATCTGCAGACATTGGCCATTTTATTTATATTGATTCATAAATTCCAGGAATCCTATTGCGCCGATATACTCATTTATGGATTCCATGGATCTAAAAGTCACGCCCAAAATATAGCCTACATAGGAGAAGCTCTATAAAACATG